CTTCCTTCCAGTCAACTTTGCGTTTAATATGCTTTGATACAGCACTCTGTGAACAGCCGCTCTTTCAGTGACTTACACTCTTTGTGGAGGGTGTCAATGATCATCTTCTGGAGCATTGCCAAGTCAGCAGTCTTCCCCATTATTGTGGTTTCAAAGAACAAGAGATACCCAGAACTTATACTGTAGGGATGGCCATTTAATGACACTCAAATGTAAATATTCTAATATTTTGAAATACAGGATTTTTGACTTTCATGAGCTGTAAGCTCTAATCATCAAAATTAAAACAAAATAAAAAAAACTTTTGAAATGTTTTACTTTACATGTAATGAATCTAGAATATATGAAAGTTTCACTTTTTGAAATGTAAAAAAAAATAAAAAAAAAATGTTGAGATGCGCCTGTATGTATGTATATACAGTAGTCAACATTTGAAGTGGATCAAAAAAGTTCATAAAATTTGTCCTAAGACAAAAACTCTGGTTATTTAATTTTACGGTCTAAAATTTTGGTTTTAGAACAGCTTTGAAAAGTTTAGATGCACTTCAAATGTTGACTAGTGTATACACTTGTATCATGTAGTCTACCTACAAATGAATAACTCCATTGTTTGTATTGCTTTGTGCATTTTTCCTGTCAAAAAATGTGAAGTAACATGTTTTCAAATCCAGATCATTCTGATCGAGATTAAACTTTCTGAACAACTAAACCCAGGACTCAATTAGATTTACTGCTAACATGCTTTTCATCTTAAAACACAAGAAAATACAACCAACTACAGCAAACAGTTTAACTGCATCAATAAATGTTTTTCCTGCTAAGAACAAGAAACCATTGAGAAACACTGAGCACTGAACAGAAACTGGCAGTTTTCTGTCTAAGCCAATTTAATGATATATACAGGTGCATCTCAATAAATTAGAATGTCGTGGAAAAGTTCATTTATTTCAGTAATTCAACTCAAATTGTGAAACTCGTGTATTAAATAAATTCAATGCACACAGACTGAAGTAGTTTAAGTCTTTGGTTCTTTTAATTGTGATACTTTGTATTACGGTTTACTTTCATTAGATAACATTATTTAATTCTTTAGATAAACTGCCAATGAAAAATTCTTCTGAACATTCATTAATCTTAGGTATTCCAATATTTAATAACATGATGTTAAAATCGAAAGTTGTAACTGTGTAATTTAATGAGCTAACATGAACTAAGACTTGTGTTTTTTTAACAAAGATGAATAACTTCTGTAGCAAATGTAGCTATTGCTTATTGTGAATGTTAATGCATTAACTAAGGTTAACTAATGAGGTCTTATTGTAAAGTGATACCTATTGGTCTTTATAGTTCTTTTGCACTTTAATCTGTGTAAAACTTTTAACTTTATAACAGGTTTAATAACTTTTTTCTCATAACAAAAATAACTGAACATTTAAATGCAATAAAGCAATACAGAAAAATGTATACTGTATTATGACAGCACTTTTTTTAAAACTACATTTCAATATTGTGATAATACCGCATACCGTGATAAAAGCATTAGCAATTAATCGCAACATGAAAATTTGATACCGGCATATCCCTAATATATAAAGGTTACTGTGTTGGCCTACAAATCGACATCCAAGTGAAACCACTGATGAGATTCAAGGCTGTAAACACCTGTAAAGTCAGATTGATGAGACACCGAACACGATTTCGATCAGGACAAAATCACTTGCTGAACTCAATGTGCCATGAAAAACACCACAAGAACGAGCATTAATTTTTCTGTTGTTTATTTAGCAAACGCAGTTCAAGCGGTGAGCACACACGCTCCTCCAACACCCTTGATCTTCTCCTCAGCTCGTCTGCTGAAGTACTTGGCCTTCACGATCACCGGCTGCTTGGGCAGCTTGCCTTTCCCCAACACTTTGAAGAAGCCCTGAAAAACAGCACAACATCAGCATATCCACCTGGAGCCAGAGACACCACACAAATCACTCAAATACACAGCACATGCTGAAGAGACAAATACAACAAAAACATGCTTCTCCAGATATGAAACATCTTTTCAAACTTAAAGGAAGCTGCTTCACCTTAAACATGAAAATTGTAATTTACTCACCCTAATGACGTTCCAAATCTGAATGAGTTTCTTTATGTTGAACACAGAAGATGATATTTTGACAACAACTTTCATTTTTAAGGTGAACTTCTCCTTTAAAGCTTCAAACTGTGAGTCTCAAACTAATAACGAGAAAACCTCAGACACGAAAGTTCTTGATTTGACTGATTTATCAGCCTCACAAGAACTCAACACATTTAAATTGTCCTCAAGCCATTTTCCTCACATTTTACCACATCTGTGAAGACATCTGACCAGACACAGTCAGACACACAAGTAATTAAAACACAAGCCATGGATGATTTCTGTTTGCAGTAGTGGTTCTGGTGACCATCAGGACTCCACCCATCTCTGCCATCTGAGACTCTGAGCCACACACACACTGCAGGGGGTCATCTGGAGCAGCACTGTATGGAGGAGCGTCTCCAAACACTGCTCTAGAGCACTCACAGCACTGCACCTATCTCTGCCATCTGAGACTCTGAGCCGCACACACACTGCAGGGGGTCATCTGGAGCAGCATGAAGCAGCACTGTATGGAGGAGCGTCTCCAAACACTGCTCTAGAGCACTCAGCACTGCACCTATCTCTGCTATCTGAGATGCACACACACTGCAGGGGGTCATCTGGAGCAGCACTGTATGGAGGAGCGTCTCCAAACACTGCTCTAGAGCACTCAGCACTGCACCTATCTCTGCTATCTGAGATGCACACACACTGCAGGGGGTCATCTGGAGCAGCACTGTATGGAGGAGCGTCTCCAAACACTGCTCTAGAGCACTCAGCACTGCACCTATCTCTGCTATCTGAGATGCACACACACTGCAGGGGGTCATCTGGAGCAGCACTGTATGGAGGAGCGTCTCCAAACACTGCTCTAGAGCACTCAGCACTGCACCTATCTCTGCTATCTGAGATGCACACACACTGCAGGGGGTCATCTGGAGCAGCACTGTATGGAGGAGCGTCTCCAAACACTGCTCTAGAGCACTCAGCACTGCACCTATCTCTGCTATCTGAGATGCACACACACTGCAGGGGGTCATCTGGAGCAGCACTGTATGGAGGAGCGTCTCCAAACACTGCTCTAGAGCACTCAGCACTGCACCTATCTCTGCTATCTGAGATGCACACACACTGCAGGGGGTCATCTGGAGCAGCACTGTATGGAGGAGCGTCTCCAAACACTGCTCTAGAGCACTCAGCACTGCACCTATCTCTGCTATCTGAGATGCACACACACTGCAGGGGGTCATCTGGAGCAGCACTGTATGGAGGAGCGTCTCCAAACACTGCTCTAGAGCACTCAGCACTGCACCTATCTCTGCTATCTGAGATGCACACACACTGCAGGGGGTCATCTGGAGCAGCACTGTATGGAGGAGCGTCTCCAAACACTGCTCTAGAGCACTCAGCACTGCACCTATCTCTGCTATCTGAGATGCACACACACTGCAGGGGGTCATCTGGAGCAGCACTGTATGGAGGAGCGTCTCCAAACACTGCTCTAGAGCACTCAGCACTGCACCTATCTCTGCTATCTGAGATGCACACACACTGCAGGGGGTCATCTGGAGCAGCACTGTATGGAGGAGCGTCTCCAAACACTGCTCTAGAGCACTCAGCACTGCACCTATCTCTGCTATCTGAGATGCACACACACTGCAGGGGGTCATCTGGAGCAGCACTGTATGGAGGAGCGTCTCCAAACACTGCTCTAGAGCACTCAGCACTGCACCTATCTCTGCTATCTGAGATGCACACACACTGCAGGGGGTCATCTGGAGCAGCACTGTATGGAGGAGCGTCTCCAAACACTGCTCTAGAGCACTCAGCACTGCACCTATCTCTGCTATCTGAGATGCACACACACTGCAGGGGGTCATCTGGAGCAGCACTGTATGGAGGAGCGTCTCCAAACACTGCTCTAGAGCACTCAGCACTGCACCTATCTCTGCTATCTGAGATGCACACACACTGCAGGGGGTCATCTGGAGCAGCACTGTATGGAGGAGCGTCTCCAAACACTGCTCTAGAGCACTCAGCACTGCACCTATCTCTGCTATCTGAGATGCACACACACTGCAGGGGGTCATCTGGAGCAGCACTGTATGGAGGAGCGTCTCCAAACACTGCTCTAGAGCACTCAGCACTGCACCTATCTCTGCTATCTGAGATGCACACACACTGCAGGGGGTCATCTGGAGCAGCACTGTATGGAGGAGCGTCTCCAAACACTGCTCTAGAGCACTCAGCACTGCACCTATCTCTGCTATCTGAGATGCACACACACTGCAGGGGGTCATCTGGAGCAGCACTGTATGGAGGAGCGTCTCCAAACACTGCTCTAGAGCACTCAGCACTGCACCTATCTCTGCTATCTGAGATGCACACACACTGCAGGGGGTCATCTGGAGCAGCACTGTATGGAGGAGCGTCTCCAAACACTGCTCTAGAGCACTCACAGCACTGCACCCATCTCTGCTAACTGAGACTGAGCCGCACACACACACTGCAGGGGGTCATCTGGAGCAGCATGAAGTAGCACTGTATAGAGGAGCGTCTCCAAACACTGCTCTAGAGCACTCACAGCACTGCACCCATCTCTGCTAACTGAGACTGAGCCGCACACACACACTGCAGGGGGTCATCTGGAGCAGCATGAAGTAGCACTGTATAGAGGAGCGTCTCCAAACACTGCTCTAGAGCACTCACAGCACTGCACCTATCTCTGCTATCTGAGATGCACACACACTGCAGGGGGTCATCTGGAGCAGCATGAAGTAGCACTGTATAGAGGAGCGTCTCCAAACACTGCTCTAGAGCACTCACAGCACTGCACCTATCTCTGCTATCTGAGATGCACACACACTGCAGGGGGTCATCTGGAGCAGCATGAAGTAGCACTGTATAGAGGAGCGTCTCCAAACACTGCTCTAGAGCACTCACAGCACTGCACCTATCTCTGCTATCTGAGATGCACACACACTGCAGGGGGTCATCTGGAGCAGCATGAAGTAGCACTGTATAGAGGAGCGTCTCCAAACACTGCTCTAGAGCACTCACAGCACTGCACCCATCTCTGCTAACTGAGACTGAGCCGCACACACACACTGCAGGGGGTCATCTGGAGCAGCATGAAGTAGCACTGTATAGAGGAGCGTCTCCAAACACTGCTCTAGAGCACTCACAGCACTGCACCTATCTCTGCTATCTGAGCCACACACACACTGCAGGGGGTCATCTGGAGCAGCACTGTATGGAGGAGCGTCTCCAAACACTGCTCTAGAGCACTCACAGCACTGCACCTATCTCTGCTATCTGAGCCACACACACACTGCAGGGGGTCATCTGGAGCAGCACTGTATGGAGGAGCGTCTCCAAACACTGCTCTAGAGCACTCACAGCACTGCACCTATCTCTGCTATCTGAGCCACACACACACTGCAGGGGGTCCTCTGGAGCAGCATGAAGCAGCACTGTATTGATGAGCGTCTCCAATCACTGCTCTAGAGCACTCACAGCACTACACAATCTCTGCTATCTGAGCCACACACACACTGCAGGGGGTCATCTGGAGCAGCACTGTATGGAGGAGCGTCTCCAAAGACTGCTCTAGAGCACTCACAGCACTGCACCCATGTCTGCTATTTGAGCCACACACACACTGCAAGGGGTCATCTGGAGCAGCACTGTATGGAGGAGCGTCTCCAAAGACTGCTCTAGAGCACTCACAGCACTGCACCCATGTCTGCTATTTGAGCCACACACACACTGCAAGGGGTCATCTGGAGCAGCACTGTATGGAGGAGCGTCTCCAAAGACTGCTCTAGAGCACTCACAGCACTGCACCCATGTCTGCTATTTGAGCCACACACACACTGCAAGGGGTCATCTGGAGCAGCACTGTATGGAGGAGCGTCTCCAAAGACTGCTCTAGAGCACTCACAGCACTGCACCCATCTCTGCTATCTGAGACTCTGAGCCACACACACACTGCAAGGGGTCATCTGGAGCAGCATGAAGCAGCACTGTATGGAGGAGCGTCTCCAAACACTGCTCTAGAGCACTCACAGCACTGCACCCATCTCTGCCATCTGAGACTCTGAGCTGCACACACACTGCAGGGGCTCATCTGGAGCAGCACTGTATGGAGGAGCGTCTCCAAACACTGCTCTAGAGCACTCACAGCACTGCACCCATCTCTGCTATCGGAGACTGAGCCGCACACACACCAGGGGGGTCATCTGGAGCAGCATGAAGCAGCACTGTATGGAGGAGCGTCTCCAAACACTGCTCTAGAGCACTCACAGCACTGCACCTATCTCTGCTATCTGAGAATGTGAGCCGCACACACACAGCAGGGTGAAGCACTCACAGCGCGCACGACGTCGATGATGGGCGCCGGGCCGTCGGGCTTCTTGCTGTAGTTGACCCTCGTCTGCTCGCTGACCAGCGTCCACAGCTTGTCCAGGTTAATGGTGGGGCAGAAGAGAGTGTTCCTCTTCAAGTGGTAGTGTCTCATGCCCACCTTACCGAAATACCCAGGATGACTGCAGGAAACAAACACCAATCAGCACTCCAGAACCAGAGCTCAAGCAGCGTCACATTCACTAACAGGCTTTCTGCAGACTCATGAAGGGAAATTTAAGACTTCAAAAACCAATGAAGGAGCTCAATCAAGCTAAAGGAAACCATTAGGGCTGGGCGATTTGTCAGGTTTTATTTATTCAAATTTAATGTTTCGTCCACGGTTTTTTAGAAATCAAGGAATCGAGATTTTGAATAGAAATATTACCAGACGTTAGAATTAGACACTTTGATAATAAGTCAATGATAGCAGTGAAGAGAAGTGAATGATCGGACCGCATGTGATGAACCGCTCGAGTGACTCGCTCTGTGAAGGACCAGAAATATATCACTAGTGCCATTCACTCAGAAAGAGCTTGTGTGTTCAGAAAGCACTGGAAGAGGAAAACATGCAAGAAGATGAGAGTTGAACTTCTAACTTCAGCACTGTGTTTTTAGAGTGCTGTTTCATGCAGGAGACGTTTACATTTTACATTTATCAGCGGCTTTTATCCAAAGAGACTTACAGGACAATAGAAGCAATCAAATCAACAAAAGAGCAATGATACGCAAGTGCTATGACAAGTCTCAGTCAGATTAACGCAGTACACCTAGCAAGGTTTTTTTTTTTTTTAAGTATATAATAAAAAAGAAACGAGCGCGACAGTCAAACGCATCAATGTTCACATAGAAAAAAACTATGGAAAAGCAGCGCAATTGTATTAAAAACCTGTGAAGAACTACTGCTGTATGTCTGATATTTCATGACTGAAAGCTGCTGTAGTGTTTACAGAACATTTATAGTTAATAAGAGTCTACTGCTGATATACCTTCAGTCATTCTGAATTACCTTGACTTGAGAAGCATTTTCCTCCTATTATTTCTGAACTTATAATATGGATAAGACAATTAGTTCAAGATGTTGTAGTTCATGCGTCTCTTCTGCAGAGAACAAGTGATCAGTTTAATATTTTCATACTTGGAACAGAATTTTCTGTAGCTAGAGGGTTAATAAAGGAAAAAAGTTACTTGAATCATGCTGTAGTTATATTTTCTAGTTGACAGGTTTTGTAAAAACTTTGACAAAAATTGTAAACACCGAGAATCAGTCAAACATACTGAAAAAAAATAAAGAAAATATGTAAATTTGTTGCCATTTCTCCAGCCCTACAAACAATATGAGTCCGTGCTGCAACATGAGTCGGAATGAGCAATGTTCAAAAATGAGTTATTTTTCACGTTCTCCATTAAAATACGATGACTTGTTGGAATCGGACAAGAAATGACTGAGCTACAGCCGGACTGAGCTAGAGTCAGATCTGATTTAGAGAGAAATGGAGTTAAAGTTTTCTGAAGATTCCAAACAAAATCACCAAGCAACGTGGCATATTCTCCTCCAGTTCTTTTCTTAATAATAATTACTATATTAGTCACCATATAGCTACTTTTTTATTTTATCTTTGTTATTAAAAATAAGAACAGATGCAAATAAACAGTAGCTTAATCAAGAGCAGCTAGTGATTGTCTTTTCTTTTAATGTTTGATTAACATTGAGACAGATCTATATTAAGACCTTCTTTATGCATGGATCAAACATAATGTTACACATCAGATTTCCCCAACCATTCACTAAACGTTCATGTAAGACATGTGTTTATGTGAATCTCGCCAAGACATATATAGAAAACGCATCTCCTGATGTTTTCAGATACAGTCAAGAACTGAATCACACACACTGTTGCACATGTCACATGTCTCCAGTCGGAGATCACTAAAAATAACATTAAAGAGGTGTGTGA